TTTGCTCCTGGGAACCCTAGGCGGCTGTCGGTCAGGGTATGATGGGGTTAAAGGGGGTCTGAGAGGAAAGTGGGGTGGGAAGTCTACCATCCAGGGGCTAGACCCCTTTCCCTGTTGCTTTCCAGGGAAAGACAGAAGGAGACAGGAAGATAAAATAATCTGGTGCCTGGAAAAAAAGTGGGAGGAGGGGACTCAGATCCCTGCTCAGATCCCTTAAGAGCAGTAGCTTCTGTGGGCTGCAGGGAGGAAGGAGGCAGAGAATGCCTAGGGGTCAAATCAGACTTAACACAGGAGCCTGAGTCGCAGGCTCTGTTCTGGATGTGGCTGTGAGCAGAGTGAACAGAGATAAAACCACGTCGATAGAGAGCTGTCGATGTGGCAGTGGCCCCAAAGATCCTGAGCAGTTCTTGAGAATCAACATCATCGCTGGCGTCTGAGTGTCCGGAAGAAGGAAATTCTACTGATCAGAAAGTACAATCCCTTGCATTCCAGCAACTCCTCCAGGCTTTCCAAGCGCCTGTCTTTTACCCTGCAGGGTAACTGCTCTAACTGCATTCTAACCCAGGGGAAACTGAGGCTCAGTGCAACTTGACCCACCAGATCAGCTTAACAAGTCCAGGGCCGGGGCGGGATTTTAGGTCCACCAAATTCCAGTCCAAAGATCTTGTGAATACACCTTCATCCAACAAACGTTTGCTGGGAACCCACTTATTTAATAATTATAACAACATCTTCCCTTTGCTGTGAGCTTACCAGGGGAGCCAGGGGCTAAGTATTTTCAGTACATCAATTCCTTTAAGCCCCAGAAGAGTCTCCCAACTTGAACTCAGGTGGCCCAGATGAGGAAATGGAATCTTAGAAAAGAGGGAGATGAACCCACGAATCAGACATTGACTCTGGATATAAGACTGTGTGTGTTTGGGGGGGAAATCACACAGGTAAAGGCTGATTTTCAAGGGGCTGTGGATTCAGTTTAGTTGTTCTGTAGTGGCACTTTGAGTATGTCCCCAACGGAAAATCGAACCGGGTCAAGCAATGGTGGTGGAACAGAGGCTGTAGAGTCGAGATTGAATCATCCTAAATTCTGGTCCTGCTGTGCCTGATAGACTGTCAAAACAAAAAACGAAATTTAAAAAGCCGATGGCAAAGCGCGTAGGGAAAACCAAACAGCGCAAAAAAAAAAAAATATATATATGTATGTATGTATATATATATATACATACATACATACATACATATATATATATATATATATATGGAAATTGGTCAGAATTCCCCTGCAAGAAAGGAGTCGTTTCGGGAAGTCCGCGCAGCGGAGGGAGGAGGCACGGATAGGGAAGGGAACAGCGGACTACCCGGGTTCACAGGCCAGCGGGGCGAGGAGGAGGAGGAACACCTCTAATCACCGGCGCTCGCTCCATATCTCGACCAAATGGGACCTGGAGAGAAGTTTTTCGGTGGGGGCCGTGAACGCCCTGAAATTTTTGCCAGAATGGTGCACTGTGTATGTGCATTTGTTTTCCTTAAAGGAAATCCCAGACTCTTTCCCAAACTTAGGAAACTTGGGTTTAAACATTCAGGTAAGAATCGTGGCAAGGGGTCGATCAGTTCTTTCCAGAAGTGTCCCTTCCCAGGGCCATTAGGGCGCCTCCCCAACTTTCAGAGCCGGGCGCGCAGGGGGGCAAAGGTGGAGGGCATACGGAGGCTGAGCAGCTCCCGGAATGCGGGGGGTCGCGTATTTGAGAGATGGACTTAGGACGCGTTGGGGCTGCTGCTTAAGGGGAAATGGGGAGTGAGAGCTGAGGGGGGGCCTTGGAGACGAACAGGGGCAGGCAGCGGGGAATAAGGGCAAGTGGGGGAACAGGGGAATGGGCAGAGGAGAGGAGGCCACACAAAAACGGCGAGTGGCCGGAGAGGGAGAGGAAGAAAGCCGGGGCCAAAAGGCCAGGGGGTGGTGGTGGTGGAGAGAAGCGGCGGGGGTAATGAGATGAAGGAGGGCGGCAGCCCAAATTTCTCACGGCCTAGGCCTGGGGTGGACCGGACACATCCTTGGCGCTCAGCCCTGTTTCCTTTTTCTCTCAGTACCCCGGCCAGCGCCGCCCCGCGGGGCGAGTGGGTTGAGCGCCGAGGAAGCAAGCGGCGCCCGAGGGACGCTCCTAATCGCCCTGAGGACCCGCCCCCTTCTCCAGGCCCCTAGGGTCTGAGTCCCGCGTCCCCCGCCAGACCCAGCAGGCTCCCGGGCAGTTTGGCACCGGAGAGGCGGGTCTCGGAGCCTGGGAAACGCTCCGCCCAGGACCCCCGCCCGAGGAGCTGAGTGGCCGGGGAGGAGCCAGGGAGGGGCGGGAGGCGACCTAGTTAGCGAGCCCGCCCCCTCTTCTCCAGCCCCGCCGCGCGGGCTTCCCGTCCGGCCGAGCCCGCAAGGGTTAAAGGCGGCGGCAGGTGAGGTGGGCGGGGCCGCGGACTCGGGGAAAAAGGAGCGCGGGGCAGAGGATGAAGGCAGAGAGCGCGGGTGAGTCACGGGCGGAGCTGGGCTCGCTCGCTCGCTAGCTCGCTCCCTGGTTCCCGCCCGCCCTCCGCCCTCCCGCCGGCCCTCCGCCCCTCCTCCGCCGCCCGCTGCCGGCCGCCAGCCACCCGCCGCCGGGTCTGGTCGCGGCCCCCGCTCGTCTTCGGCTCCTGCGCCTTGCCGCTGGAGAACCTGCCGGCGCGCAGGGCCCATGAGCGCCCGTCCGTAGCGCGCCAGCCTGCCCTGCCCGGAGCCCGAGCGCAGCCTCGAGGTAGGAGCCAGGGTCGGGGCGGCGAGGGGTGCGCGCTCCGGGGATCATCCCAGAAAGACGCGCCCCGAACTCGCCGCAGCCTCCGGTGGCCTTGGGGGAGGTGGTCCTAAAGAATCCGAGGGCCTTAGAGTCCCCGCCGAGCGACAGCTGGGCGGAAGGGCGAGACGAGGGACCGAGGAGGCTGAAAACCGGGGAAACTGGAGCGACTGGGACAACCGGAGGACTGGAACCTTGAGGACTGGGAGTGCGGAAGTCCTGACCACCTGAGCGCCGGTGATCGGGAGAGGGAGACGGCGGAAGGGGGAAGAAGGGTGTCTCTACCCGGCTTCCTGCACTGGGGAGCGGGAAGCCGAGAGTGCGCGCTCTGCTGTCTCCCTTCCCGAAACTTTGCAGGCTGGCCATTGCATCCCAGGGCTGGACTCCCTGGCTCTGCGTCGAGAGAGGCCACTCTGGAGCCTGGGTCGTTCACCTTCCCACCCCCTAATCCCTGGGGCAGTTCCCAGACGCCGAAAGCTATTAGGGTCCCAGCCCCTTCTGGGCTGCCCCACCTGGGCCGGAGGCTCTTTTCCTGCTGCTTCACCCTGTTTCTTTCTTGTGGTAAGGCAGCTAGAGGCTGATTGGCGCCCCAGTTCCCCTCTCTCACCCTCTCCCAGACTACCAGGGCCACCTCTTTGGTCACAGAGGCCACAGGTAGCAGGGTCAGCCCTGCTGTGGGAAGAAGTCCCTGACCTAAACCACTGCACCTCCTCTCCCACCATCAGAGAAGGCTGGGCGACCAAACTCCACACCTGAAGGGCTCCCAGGTCTTCGGGAGAGGTGGTGGGAGGAAGAGGACCTTCGAGTCACAGATGCGTGGTTAAGAACGGGGTGGATGTCTTTAGGTTGCCAACCCTTTAGGGAAAGGATAACAGGCGGGGAGTCCAGACACCTGGTTCACAGAGGTACATACAGTGCATAGTGGTTGATTGAACAAGTAAATGAAAGTCTGTTCAAGTCATTTCTCCAAATACTGCCTGGGTTTCCTCTTTTTTAAAATAAGAGGGTTGGCCTGAGGCAATGGTTCTCAACACTTAGCTGCATATGGGAGCCATCTGCAGAACTCTTAAAAATGACCCAGGTCTAGAATGCACCCCCCTCTATAATCTCTTGGGGTAATTCGTAATTTCTGTGATTCTGGTTTTTCTTGTTGTTCTTCGCTGTCCCCACTGTGACTCTGCATCTCTTAACGGGGTGACAGTTTTACCTCCCTGAGCTGGTTAGTCAGCTCTTCTCTGGCTCGCCCCCTTCTGGGGGAAGCTGACCCCTCCCAGCTTCACATCTGAGTCTCCCCTAGATTGGAGAAGGGTGTGGATAGCAGCAGACAGCTGGCTGGAGCCTGTGTGGGTCAGCACAGGAGAGGAGGAGGCTTACCTTTCTCTGGTGGGGAGAAATCCCCTGGGAGCTAGCACTGTGGCTGCCCCCCAGGGGGGTGAAGTCCCTGCACAAGGGGAAGGGGTGGGGGCCAGGCATGGAAGTGGGTTTGGGTGGGGGGTGGCTGGCAACCCAGCCAGGCAGAGAGCTGAGGCGAATAGTACAGAACAGTGAAATGCTCTTCCTCACTGAACATGCCTCAGGGACGGAATGAGGTCTCCCCTAGTATCTGAAAACCTGCGCTGGGCATGGAAAATCAGGTCACCTCAAGCTCTGAGTTTCAGAAACAGACCCCCACCCTCTCCTCATCTGTGTCCTGAATTAGACTAGAGAAGCAGAGATGGCTCTAGGCCCTCCATTGGGGGTGGCGGCCGGTCTGCAGGGGGTAAATGCCACCGGCTCTTTGCGATGGCCTGGGAACCCGGGGTCCGGATGGTCCTAGCATTTTACTGTAGGTGTTTCTGACTTATCAGCCTGGGACCAGCCCAGCTCTCGGAATGAGCTAGGTCCTGTAGGAGGGATCAGCATCAGCGAGGAGAAGGTCTACTTACCCCCTTGGCTGAGAACCTCATACCCTCCAGCCTTCCTAGCACTCCCCAGTTCTGTTTACTGGTCTTTAGTCCCCACTCAGAGGTGTGTCCCTCTTTTCACCCACCAGGCAGCTACAGAGAGGAGCACTTTGCAGGGAAGGGATCTGGGTCAGGACTAAAAGTGAGTTGGTTACTTTCCTCATGTCACCTCTTCTTTGCCTCCTTTAGGTCCCACTTGAGGTGCCCCTGACCGTCCCTGTTCCCCACCCCACCCCGGATCCCGGCAATGCTAACCGCTGTCTGCGGCTCTCTGGGCAGCCAGCACACGGACGCGCCTCACGCCTCCCCGCCGCGCCTCGACCTGCAGCCTCTCCAAACATACCAGGGCCACACGAGCCCGGAGGCTGGGGACTACCCCTCCCCGCTGCAGCCTGGAGAGCTGCAGAGCCTCCCGCTGGGCCCAGAGGTGGATTTCTCACAGGGCTATGAGCTGCCGGGGGCCTCCTCTCGGGTAACCTGCGAGGACCTGGAAAGCGACAGTCCCTTGGCCCCGGGACCCTTTTCCAAGCTCCTACAGCCGGACATGTCACACCATTATGAGTCATGGTTCCGGCCGACTCACCCAGGCACGGAGGATGGCTCGTGGTGGGACCTTCATCCGGGCACCAGCTGGATGGACCTCCCCCACACTCAGGGCGCGCTGACCTCGCCTGGCCACCCCGGGGCGCTTCAGGCTGGCTTGGGGGGCTACGTCGGAGACCACCAGCTTTGTGCCCCGCCGCCCCACCCACACCCGCACCACCTCCTCCCCGCCGCCGGAGGGCAGCACCTCCTGGGGCCGCCCGACGGGGCTAAGGCCTTGGAAGCGGCCGCCCCGGAGTCCCAGGGTCTGGATTCCAGTCTGGACGGAGCAGCCCGGCCCAAAGGCTCCCGACGGTCAGTGCCCCGCAGCTCGGGCCAGACCGTGTGCCGCTGCCCCAACTGCCTGGAGGCGGAGCGACTGGGGGCTCCGTGCGGGCCCGACGGGGGCAAGAAGAAGCATTTGCACAATTGCCACATCCCAGGTTGTGGGAAAGCCTACGCCAAGACGTCGCACCTGAAGGCGCACCTCCGCTGGCACAGCGGCGACCGTCCCTTCGTGTGCAACTGGCTCTTCTGCGGCAAGCGCTTCACGCGCTCCGACGAGCTGCAGCGCCACCTCCAGACCCACACGGGCACCAAGAAGTTCCCCTGTGCGGTCTGCAGCCGCGTCTTCATGCGCAGCGACCACCTGGCCAAACACATGAAAACCCACGAGGGCGCCAAAGAGGAGGCTGCCGGGGCGGCCACGGGCGAGAGCAAGGCCAGCGGAGCGGTGGAGCCCCCCGGGGGCAAAGGCAAGCGGGAGGCGGAGGGCGGCGCGGCTCCCTCCAACTGAGCTGCTCTGGTACCGCCCCCCACGCTGGTCTCCCCTGGGGGCATCAGAGGAGCTTTGTGGGGGGGGGGCCCTCTCCACTCCCCCCGCCCCGGCCTGATGCCCTTGGGGGGCGACTTGAGTCAGAGGATCAGGTGGTTATTTATTAAGGGGGAGGAAAAGTGGTGCGGGGTCAGGGGGACGGGGCGATAGGGGGTTTTTTAGTCTCTGGGGCTGGACGAGACGTGTTTGACTGGCTGGGCTGGGAGGGGCTGCGCATGCTGCTCTGTCCTCCCCTTCCCCACTATTTCGCTCCAGTGCCTGGGCTGGGGGGTTGGGGTGGGGTACCCCTACCGCGGCTGCAGGGCGGAGGGGACCTGCTGGAAGAGACGGCGCGTCTGTCCCCGGAGCAGAGAGGAGTGGGGCCGGAGCAGAGAGGAGTGGGGCCGCCGCGGGCGCTGGGGGTAGCTGTCTGGACACGTCCTTAGTGCCTGGGAACCGGGACTTAAAAGCGCCTCCGGACCCGCCCTGCGGCCCAGGTCCCTTTCATCCCCCATATAGTGCTTCTGTCCCTATGTTTCCCGAGGGAGCGCTCAGGTGGGGTAGGGGAGACAGGGGTACCCTCTAAGGAGGGGTCTCTATAAATAACTCCTTTGATCTGCCTCCTGATTAACCCTTCCCAACCCATTCTGATGGAGCCGTGAAGGAAGAGGAGAAGAGGCCAGAATCTGGGACAGCTTCCCAGCCAGAGCAGTAGACCAGGAGGGGAAGGGCAAAAAGTCCCCTTCTAAAATGAGAGGAAGGGATTGGGTAGGGCAATGGAAGGAACTAACCCCTTATGCCTCTAACTCGGATTCAGTCCTTAACTCATGGTTTTCATGAAAAATAAAGTTCAGTGTAGTTCACATTCCCCATCTGTTACCTGATCTAGGTTTTAAGGCAACCAGAAGCCCCAGCCCCCACCCTAGAATAGATGTAGTGCCTCATCCTGGCTCCCTGTTCCCACCCCTCCCCCCATCATTTGCCTTCTCCTTAGGGTTGGAAGGTTACCTGGGTTGCCTGGGGAGTAGGTGGGGTGTCCCAGCAGAGGGACCTCCAGTGGTCCCCACTCAGGGTGGATGTCCAGGCATCTTCTACTCACTGGGAAGTGAAGGCCCACTCTTTCTTTTCTTTCCCATCCCCTTTCTCTGCTGCCTGCAAGCCTTGCCCCTCCTATAGAGCATTAGGAGGCTCCCTTCTCCCCATCTCAATTCTGGGCAGGGGGACTCCCCTTCCATATGAAGGAGGTGTTTTCCCATTGGAAGGGGTCTGCCTTCTGAGGTGATGTCCAAGAAGCTGTCCCCATCCCCTTCTTTAGATGCTAGAGATCCATCCCGATTGTGATCTTGGAGTGGGGTCCGGGGAGGGGAGAGCCTGGCAGGGATGGAGCCAGGCAGAGGGAAGGAAGCTGATAGGGGGTAAGGGTCTGGAACTAGTACCCTTTCCCAAGCTAGAGGTAGAGGCCCTAAGATTCCCTCTGACCTCCCTGGACCCCTTGCCCCCTTTCTCCACCCAGAGCCCTATGCAAAGATTAGTTGTGTATTGATTTTTAAGTTATAAGCAAAAGGTATTTTATTTAATATTAGGGCATGTGTGTGTGCATGTTGTTTGTACGTGTGTGTGTGTGTGTTGTGTGTGTGTTTCTCTACTGAGCCTGGGGTCTCCAGCTAGAGAGACCCCACCTTGTTCACCCTGTCCAAAGCCCTAGGTCTTAGGCATACAGCGTCTCTTCCTCTCTTGGGGATGCTGAAGTCCAGTCCCAGGACTGGGAGCTAAATGGGAAATGGGTCTGGGGTCTGGATAGGAATATGCGTTTGCATAGAAGGGAGCCCTTCTTAAAAGGGACAGGGTGACTCTCCCTGAGAGACTCATGGGCCTGGGGTAGTTTAAGAAGTAACGTTCTTTCTTTTTGCTCCCTCTTCCCCCTACCTCTTGCCACCCCAACCAGAGGTCCCTTTCCTTGCTGAGAGGGTTGGGGGCAGGAGAGAACTCACAGAGCCTGCGGGTTGCCTGGCCAGGCAGAGAAAGGGGGAGAGAGGGAGGGCACTGTGGGTGTGGGATGCCTTTCTCCTCCACCCATCGAAACCAGCCACCCCCTCCCTGTGCCACCAGGACAGCCTTCCCCAGTGACCATTGTAAGGGGAACTCCTGAATGGGTGTTGGGGTGGCGGGGGAACACTGATGTTCCCCTCCGGAGGCCTTGAGTTCTAAGGGTGCGGGTGAGGGCTTTGGATGGGTTTTCTTCTGCTCCCCTCATTTATAGATCTAGGTTGCTTGGCTGTCTACCCCCTTCTAGGCAGCCTCCTAGAGGAGAAATGTAGGATTTTTTTTTTTTTCCTTTAACTGCTGTGAACCCACTTTGGGGGGGAGGAGGAGGAAGAAACAGCCTGTGTTTTTTATGCCGTAATAAAGTCATCAAGCACATCATTGCTTCATTTGTCTTCCAGCTCTGGTTTCCTTTTTGACTCAGTGTCCCTCAGCAGTGAGGACCAGGCCGGCTGCAGGGTGGGGTGGCCACTTCCTTTGATCCAGCACCCCGGCCTGCAGCCTCTCCTCCCTTTGTTTGGGGCAGAGCCCAGCTGATGGAAGGGTCAGATCCTTCCCCAGGAGGTGGCTGGTGTGGGGAATGGGGAGGAGCTCCCTCAGGGTTGATAGCTGGGCTGACTGTCCCTCCCTGGGGCTGAGAAGGTTCTAGTTATTTCCTTCCTCCTCCACATATAAGCCCCCTCTTTCCCCTCCTCTGCCAAGAACGCCAGTTCCCTGCCTTGCCAGGGAGAGCCAGCCTCCCAGCTCCGTCACCCCGCCCCGTGGGGGTGTGATCGGTCCCTCTGGCTGTGAGCGAGGCGGGGGTGACTGACAGCGATTTCTTCACCCAGAATGATCCCTATCAGGGACAAGGCGATGAAAGGCAGCCAAGCTATCTGATGGGCTCCCGCCCAGCTGGAAAGTCTGAGGGAAGGATCCTACTGCAACTCCCAGCTAGAGGGCCTGCCACAGTTACACAAACACATTGCGCACCAGTGCACCCTCACCCGACCCACTGGGCGGCCTGGGATGTGCAGAAACGCCCATCCGTACACACTCTCCTGGGCTGCCCAGTGCCTGTGATGCAGCTGGTGCCCAATTCAGGTGAAATGATTAAAAAACAAAAACAAAACAAAACAAAAAACCCTCATGAGTCCAGAGGCCCAAAGCTAGGAAGGTTGACAGCTGAGAAGGTTCGGGGTCCAAAGGGGCAGGCTGGACTTTGTGTTTGTTCACCCTCCCCGCCTTCATTTTGGCCACAGTTATCTTCCCTAGTGGGATTCCTGTTTCCCACACTCCACCCCTGACCCAGTTTCCTGGAGCCAAGTCTGGTACCCACACTGGCTCATCCCATCACCTGTTTGGGACCATCTGCAGTCAGAGTTGAAGGTCACGTTGTGATAGGGGTTACAGATGGAAGCAGACTGGTTTTTAGGGGAGGAACTCTTTGCTTTCTCTTGCTTCTGGATTTAGAAGTCCAGGAGGAAGAGGGGCAGGCCTATGTTCCCCCCACCTCTTGCCGGCCCCACTCTGGGCGCCTCTTTTGTCTTCTTGGTTCAGTGGGAGTTAGACCCCAGGACCCTGGGGAGCCCCTTCCTCCTGCAGCCCATCGCTGCCCCCAGGGACAGGAGGGCAGCTGTGGGGCCGGCTGGGCCTGTCTGGGCAGGGCTGGGGCCGCCCCTCCTCCCCTTGGAGCTCCTCCTGCTGACCTGCATTCTTAGCGGGGGCCTTTGGTGGGGCTCTGATGTTTGCTCACTGGCCCGCATTGGCAGCAATGCTGCTCGGCTGGCCCGCCCCCTACCCCCCACCCCAGGAGCCCAAGGCCACCACTGACCCCTCAGATCTGACGCCCCCAGCGGGATGATCCTGGAGGGCCAGGGAGAAAGTAGGGAAATCAGGCCACGTGGGCTCACCCTTTGGACAACCTCTCTGAGCCGCCACCCTCCTCTCCTGGGAGGTGGGAGTACCGGCCCTGGAGGGTTGGTGAGTGAAATCAGGAATGGGAAAGTGACGGAGGAGCCGGCAGCCTGGGAACCGCAGCCTGGGGGGCAGCGCTGTGGCCCGCAGACACTCGCTTCTCCTCCGGCCCGATTCTGCCCCACCGCGGGCGGCTGGGGAAGTGCAGGAAGGGGCCCGCTGAGCCGCCCGCCGCTCTGGGTGCCCGCGTCCATCGGCCCACAGCCTTGACTTTTGCTTCTGGAATGACCTCCGACGGCAACCTCACGACACCTCCCCGTGGACTGCACATCCTAAGCAGCCTTCACTTTCCATTAATTCTGGCGAGCTCGACGGCTCAGCGTCCTAGCAGTGTGGGTTTGAAAAGCATCTCAGGAACCCAACAGTCTGGCTGTCTTCACCCGGTAGAGGGCGTATTAGAGACACCCAGGGAATTCCTGAAGCCATCCGGATTAACTCTCCAGCACTCCAAGTGATGTCCTTGGGGGCGTATTAGACCGGCGTTTCTCAAACTTTACACTGGGGATGTTGTTCACATGCAGCTTCTGATTCACTAGGTCTGAGGTGGGGCCCAAGATTCTGCATCTTTTTTTAAAAAAATTATTTATTTGGGGAGGGGGGCAGAAGGAGAGGGAGAGAAGCAGAGTCCTTGCTGAACTGGGAGCTCCAGGCGGCACTCAATCTCAGGACGCTGAGATCATGACCTGCACGGAAATCCAGAATCCACCGTTTAAAAGACTGAGCCACCCAGGCACTGCAAGATTCTGCATTGTTAACAAGCTTCCAGGTGACGCTGATGCTGGCCGTCCACGGACAGAGTATGAAAATATTCTGTTGTACAGTGGGAGTTGTGTGGTTGAAAGCAAATTGCTCCCCTCCACTCCCCACCCGTGGTTGAGAATCACAGATCTAGTTCAATGCTGTCATTTTACTACCGGGGAAACTGAGGTCCTCAAAGAAAAAGTGACCTGCCCAAAGAGACACTCCAGGTCCACTGCAGAAGC